TTTCAAATGTATATACAGTGAAAATATAGAGAGAGTAAAAATCACTTTTTAAAACATATTTCTATGAACATTAACAAATGCATAAAGTCATGTAAGGACTACTGTAGTCAACATACAGAGCAATGCTATCAACCAAAAATGCTTGTTTGGTTCTACTTCTTCATGTTCCTGGATGCCAAGTTATTTGTTATTCATTCCTCTAGTTTTCCTTTTTATGAAATGTTATGTAAATTAAAGCACCCAGCTTTTATCATTGTGACTGATTGATTTGTGATGGATATACATTGTATACATCAGTTATTCTTTATTATTGCTAGGTGGTATTACATTTTTGAATATTCATAGTTTACCCATTCACCACTTAAAAGACTATTTGAACTGTTTTAGATTAAGTGATAATGAGTAAAATTACTTTAAGTATTCACTTATACGTTTTAGTATCAACAAATGTTTTTACTTGCTTTGAGTAAATACCTTACAACAAGATTATTAGGTTACAAGTGAATGGTTAACTATATGAGAAACTGCCAAATACTTTTTCAGATTGGCTAAATCACCATAATATTTTAAAAACTTTAAAATTAACATTTTTCTATTTGGAAGATGATAGGAAAAATCCCATTATCATCAAATCTGGTCTATGAATGGAAAAAAATCAGACATTTATTACAACTTTCCAGTATGAATCCCTGGGTAGGCAAATAGCACATGAGAGAAAGTATTTATAATAAATGAAATCAAATGATATAATATCACAATTTTGCAAACTCTAATGAATTAGCAACTAGTATCACAAAAAGAGAAACAGAAACATAATGTGCCTCTGATGAAACACCACAAAACCAGAAATAATGTTGGTAAAGGATTCTGCACAAGTCTGATAAAGCTTGTGCATCTGGTCACCAGCTTTAGGAATACGGAGGACAGAGGAACACCAGGGTTCAATGGCATCCGTCTATACCCTCAGCAAAAGACATTTCAAGAAAATATATACATCAAATATACCAGATCCTTCATCAGATAAAATGTAAAGGAGAGGGAAAGCTGTAGACCAAAAGGGTGTTTAAAGGCATATTGATTTTAAGAAAGAAATGAGCTTGATCCAACAGTGATGTCTAGGGATACCCATTGAGTGATAAATGTATTTTACAAAAAGGAGGAAGGAAGCAAGGATAGGGGCTGGCATTATGAGGCAGTGAGTAAAGCAAATGCTTGTGGAGCTGACTTCCCATATTGCAATGCTGGTTCCAGGCCCGAATGCTCCTCTTCCAATCCAACTTCTTGCTAATGTGTATAGGAAGATAGCTAAAGATGGCCAAAATGCTTGGTCCCTTGCCACGCATGTGGGAGACCTGGATGTAGTACCTGACTCCTGACTTTGGCCTGGGCCAGTCCTTGCTTTTGTGGTTATTTGGGAAGTATATCAGCAGATAGAAGATTTTTCCCTCTTCCTCTCCCTGTCTCTGTCCTCTCTGTCACTTTGCCTTTTGCATAAATAAATGAATTCTTTTTTAAAAAGGGTAAAAGTGAGAATAGTGCTTATTTGGGGAGACAAAAGGGATTTTGCTGAGTGTGGGGCTTAGGGGAGGCTTCTGATGCCACTGACCAAGTTGTATGAATGTACTTCAAAATGTTCATAGACAATGGAATTAAAAGGTAAGATTATGTTATTGCAAAGAAAACTTCAAATCCATGCCAAGATTTTGTGATACACATTTCCCATGAACTCTTTGAAGACCCCATGCATTTCTATTTGAGGGTGACAGATTGCTTTACAATAATGCTTTAAGCTGTATGGTTATTCTGTATGGTTTCCTGTATCTGTGGTTTGTTTACAATAATATAATTTTAAAATAATAAACTATTACCAGGTATACTCTACCTTAGTTCCAGTATCCTTTTCTTTCTAAATACCTGTCTCAGTCTCCTACTTCTGCTCTTGTCCCCTGTAGTCCCTTCTCTACACTGAGTGCAAGTCATCTCGTAAGATGTGTTTAAGGTTGCATTGCTCTACTTTTAAAAATCCTTCAGTGGCTTCCAGCTGCAGTGTGAAGAAAAGTTTATCCCCTTAGAAGGTCCTGTAAGTTGACCTTACCTTTCCGTGTGTCCTCAACCCTTATTCCACTCAATTTTTACCTTGACTCAGTTTCTCCTCATCCCAGAGCTTGTCACTTGCTGTCCTCCTCCCTCCAGAGACTGCATGGCAGCTCCATCATCTCCTGTCTCACAAAGGCTGCTCTGAAAGCCCCAGTTATCCTCTCTCCCATCCCCTTATCCTTTCTCCCACCACTCTGTTGATGGTCATGGCGCATTTCATGTTCTGTTGGAAACTGGCTGACTGATCATCACTTTGTTTCTGTATCCTACTTCCTGGTCTTTTCCTACCAGATCATAAGCTTCTTGAAGGCAGACTGTCTCATAATTGTTGTATCTCTATCAAAAATGAAAAGCTCAGCAGTTAGTATGTATGCAAATATTTTATAAAAAATGTCTATTAATGATTCAACACATCAGTGAATGACTAAATATGTGAACAACTGTGCTGCCAGTGACACCTTATACCCTCATTCTACAATTCAGCTGACAATCCCACACAACTCTGCCTGAATCACAAAAGGACCGACTCCTGCTCAACATGCTGTGTCGGGTGGCAGCGGGGCTGTCTGAGGTTCAGATGCATGGTTTATTACATTGTTGAAACTGGAACCATCTGGTGTCATCCATTTTTACCCAATGCTGATGCCTCCTCTTCCTCCTCCTCTTCCTTTTCCTCATCCTCCTCCTCCTTCTTCTTATTATTTTGGTAATACTCAAGTTCCCTGTTCCTGATTGAAACCAAAGACTACAAGACTGAGATCTAAGTGGCTTCAGGTTGGAGAGGAGAAGGATGTTAGCCTTATACTGGAGATACAAGACACAAAGAGTAACAAGACGAAGGGCGTGAGAAAAGCTGGAAGCCACCATGTGATGTAAAAACAAAAGAAGGTGATCTGAGAACAGAGGTTTCTAGGCTTCTGGAACATAACTCTTTTTTTCTTTTTTAAAAGATTTATTTATTTATTTGAAAGGAAGAGTTAGAGAGAGACAGGGAGAGGCAGAGAGAGAGAAAGAGAGAGAGAGAGACCTTCCACCCACTGGTTCACTCCACAAATGGTTACAATGGCAGCAAGGAATCAAGAGATCCATCCAGGTATCTCATGTGGGTTGCAAGGGCCCAAGCACTTGGTTCATCTTCTGCTGGTTTCCCAGGCACATTAGCAGGGAGCTGAATTGGAAGTGGAGCAGCCAGGATCCAAACCAGTGCCCATATGAGATGCCAACACTACAGGAAGTGGCTTAACTCGCTGTACCACAGGGCCAGCCCCTGGAACATCACTCTTTACATGGTAGGAGAATAAAGAAGGGCTAGAAAAGGAGGATTTAGAAATGTAAGATGAAGAATCACATGTGCCTTGCTGCCATAGTTCACTCAGGAAATGTATTCAAGAACAGCCTGGTACAACAGTAGGAGTCTACACAAAGCTCTAGTAGGATAAAGCCTGAAAATGAAATGCTGGTTTTAGAATTTGAGAAGACCTGGGTGACCCTGGGAGGGCAGTTTCCAGAGCAGTGCAGAGGTGGAAAGTTGAGAAAGAAAATAAAGCAGTCTATTATTTTGTTCATCCTGTGTTGCAAGATTGCCTTCAGCATGCCATCAAAAACAAGACACAAGATGGGATGTGTTAAGTATCAGATCAAATGCATCATCTTCAAGGTTATTTGTGGAATGAATGAATGAACAAAATCAAAGACATTTTGGAAGAAATTGAAGGAAAGGCCCTCAGAAATTGACAGAACCAGATCGAATGTCAGTAGATACGTGTTGAGCAAGATTTTATTGTGATCCATACATGTCTCCATCCTAATCATCAAAAACTAGCTTGTGAAAGTGATCAGGGTACATTCGGGGGAAGACAGAAGCATCAGCGGATGTCCACATTAGAATGAATGCTTCCTCAAAATGAGCTCAGAATCTACTTTGTGCATGGATTTCTAGCTCCAGCAATTAGTTGTTGTATTTGCAAATAAAGCATTTTCTACAAAGCACATTTCCATCTACATAACAAAGCTCAATAACGTGCTTTATTCCCTGCTGGCCACTATTACAGTTCTATTTTTTAATCAGCAGATGTTCACTTATTTCTAACTAGGTATAAACATGGCATTGAATGATATCATTGTGGTTCATAGATGTGTGCCTTGCTTATCTAAGGTTTAACACCCTTCTCTTTTCTCTTCTGAGAAGTAAACAACATGCAAAGTACCGAAGTGCAGAACATTTGGTATAAGGTGGATACATTAGTTTGCATAATGGATTAAAACTTAGAAAAGTAAAAGTGATGCTCACCACCCCCACCAAGAGAAATCTGCTCTTCACTATTGAGATGCCTACAAGGGATTTGGCATTTCTGTAATTCTTGCCTTTACTGAAAATATGAATATGGTCTAGTGAATTGAAAAGAAAACTTTCTATAATGCTTATAGGAAAATCAAATACAAAATTTAGGATAAAAACATCAAAGAAAATAGATGTCTCCTTTTATCTCTAGTCACAAGAAAACACTTCAAAGAAAATCAGACTACTCTCTTTTCATTTCACTGCATAAGGTTTCCATGGATGACTCTTACACACATCATTCCAGCCATGTCTGTACATGATATGACATACTTGATGGGCATTTCATTCAGGAAACATCCTCTCAGTACACACTATAGATGTTGAGGCATTTTTTTTTTGAACTTCTGCCTTCTCCATATTTTCACACATTGCCTATCTTACATAAAATTTTTGCACATATTTCTAAGTTGTTATATTCTTGGGTAAATTTATGCCTAGAAAATGAGCTACAATAAAATTGGGATCACATTACTGTCTCAAACCTGTACTCCTCTTCCTTTTTAATCCATTCTACATAAATACATTACCTTCTACTTGGTTATATACTACATGATATTTTTTTTTATAGGAACCAGGCTTTATTATCAATGATTACAGAGCACAGGAGAGTCAGGCTCATGAGTGGAGGGCCCGCCACTTATCCAGGGGACCACGATTGGGGATGTACTTGACCCCGCAGCTGTCTGGGATGAGCCGCTTCTCTGCCACCATGTCTTCAAATTCATCCGCGTTAAACTTGGTAAAGCCCCACTTCTTTGAGATGTGGATCTTCTGGCGGCCAGGGAACTTGAACTTGGCCCTGCGTAGGGCCTCAACCACATGTTCCTTGTCCTGCAGCTTGGTGCGGACGGACATGATGACTTGGCCAATGTGAACTCTGGCTACTGTGCCTTGGGGCTTTCCAAAAGCACCCCGCATACCTGTCTGCAGCCTAGATTAACAACAGCATGAGGTCAGAGGCACGAATGTCCACTGCGCAGGGCTGTCTCCAAGGTCCCTTAGGGCAACCCATACAAACAATAGGTTGCATACACTACCAAGGAGGCTGCTGTTTGCAGCCATTGCATACCAGGCCCCCGTGAAGAAAGAAAGCTGGTCGGCTTAATTAGCTGCAGGTATGCTACATGATACTAATATAAATGTTCAGATTTCAATTAATATGCCATGTTTGCTGTAGAAGGGGAAAATATTTTTTCTTGTGATCTTCACACTCAGACACAGAACATTCTGTGGCTAGATGTGTGGGAATTCTTCCCTATATGTCAAATAATTCTCCATTGGATGCCAATTATGTATCCAATAATTCCATTCAATTCTGATGCTGTCAAGGGCTCGGTCCCATAAGAATAGTCCTACTTCAGACTCCATTGGTGCATCTTAGGTTGTCACCTGAGTGCAAACCCAGGTTACCACACCTATTTACTAGGTGGCTCACAAAACTTAGGGAAACATTTCCGCTTATCAGTTTCTTATACAGGATATTACACAAGATACAGATAGAGGCCCCTCTGGGGTGCCACCCCCCCCTTGCACCTCCATGTTTTTGGTAACCCCAAATCTCATCAGATCTGGTAGTTCAGAGTTTTTAAAGAGCTTAACCTTTAGCCCTCTATTCTTTCATGGAGTTGAGGCTGAAAGTTTGAGAGCTCTAATCCTTTAATCATTTGGCCTTTCTGAAGACTGGTCCCATCCTGTGGCTCCCTGGGGACCCTACTCTATGTCACCTTATTGGTATAAACTCACCTGCTCTTAAAGGGCCTCCTTATGTATTATGAAAGATACTTTTATTCCTCAGGAAGTTCCAAGGGGTTTAGGAGCTCTTTGTCAGTAATGGGGGACAAGTATATTGTACCACACCTATGAACATCATCCTTGAGCTCATTGTATGAAATCCTGGGGATGATTCTAAAGGCATTACTCTGAGATCTATGTTTCTCAGCATTGAGTATGTTCAGCTATTTTTTAATGAATAACTCTTCAGGCCAGATGCTATTCCAAGTACTTTACCCTGCTTAGACTTCCCAGCATTCTCTCATCCCCGTTTTACAGATGAGGAAACTGACACACATATTTCTTAAATAATTCACACGTAACACACGGTTGATTTGAGACTAAGATCCCGGGAAGATAGACCCCATAACCACTACACTATGTGCTATACCTGAGAATGTTTTTTCTAAATGCCGATTCTGGGGCCACTAGTGATTGAATTATCCTTCTTGGCTAAGGCCCAAGAATTTATGTGGCTTGCTATTTGCTTGCTTGTTTAACAAGTACCCTCAGGGTTGCTAACCTGATACAACAATTTCACGTGTTGCCTTCTATAAGGGAAACAGCAGCTTGAGTTAAATCCTTTTCTTCCTGCACTCACGATTTCATTTGACACTGGCATTTATTTATGCATAGGAAAAGTAAGGAATTTATGTTACTTGTGTGTGTTTTTGAATGTCAGGAAGGTCTCCTGTGCTTCTCTGTCCCTGTGATTTAATATGAACCTCACTTGTTTTTCTTCACCTCCTCTGCTTACTTTGAAAATGCCACCTTTTGTCTTAGAATTGCAGAAACACTGATTTATTTTTTGTGAGTTCAAGGTAAATGAATCATTAGAAAACAAGCATTGGAAACAGCCTTTCCAGTAGCATTTGTCAGAGTAGAGAAGTCCCTAAGAAAGGAGTGGGAGGAGGCAAAGGGGCTGCCAGATGCTGCCCTAAAATGTGGACTGAACAGCCCAGAAGGGGGCTGTAGACGCTCTGGCTTCCTGGTCCTGCCTAAGGCTGGCTGAGTCGCTGGTGACAGGGGCATGTGGTTTTAAAACCTTATCACTCAGCTTCAGGTATTACTCCTCCTTAGACCCAACATCTCTGGATGACATTCCCTCTTTGTCAGTAATTCATTTATAGATTGTGCTGCTTGTGAATTTCATTACATAAACTCTTTAGGCAAATGGGATGTAAAGTAGGCTGAATTGGAGAAGCATTTCAGTATTGATCATGCTGGGGCTATGTATAGTAAGGAAGTTAAAAATCTTCCCATCACATCAAATGCTGTTGAATCAGCCAGGAGAGAAGCCTGAACACAAAGATTCTGACTACAGTTCCTTTGCATTTAGCACCTCTACGAAATGGCAAGTGAAAGAAGCGGAATGTAACTACTCAAGCATTTCTATTTTAGCTGGTTCAAAGCCACAGTTGATTCTGAAGTTTGACAGCTATAGTGTTTCTCACCTAAAGTAATTAGCAGTAACAGTACCTAAAAGCTAAAGCTCTTGCAAAAGGAGCTACCATGCTGCTCTTGGATAGCTACCTCCAGCCAGTTATAAACCAGTTCCATTTCAGTCCCGGTTAAATTTTTAGTGCACTGCTTTAAAAGAAAGAGTCTAATTGTTCCAGTCACTATAATTTGAAACAATTGACTCTGGTGTTACATCATAGCTTTTGCAGTCCCAAATAGGAAGGACATTTGTAGCATTACAGTAAATAAAGCATTCCACCCCCAAGTTGAAAGTGTTCTCCTCCTGCCCCTGGGAGTATTAGTGTCTGGCTATGGTTTTGAAAAGAAACGTTACCTCTGCTCCAGCATGTTTCCAAGTCTTTTTCACTGTAATGAATAAAGGGAAGGAATTAAATGGCATTTAGTCATCGCAGAGGTCAAAAGGAATATTATAATTCCAGAAAACTTCACTCTGCAGCTCAAACCCTTCATTGTTTCCGCTTGGCAGCTTTACCAGGGAGGGCAATTTGTAAGACTGAATTACAGCATTGAACATGCATTAGACACAATGGGCTTGCTATTGTCAAATTATTTATGCCACTTATGCATTTGAGCAGTTTGACCATAAAGAGCAAATATTCCAAGATTTTTGTAAAAGGACAGATTCTGCCATCATGAAACTCTTTGTTGGTTTCTTACACTCAAACCCAAATGTTTGATTACGTGATAAAGGGTGTATTAATGATGGAGAATCAGGAAGGCAAATTCTACTTTGGACATTTATGTAAAGCTTTGTTTAAATCCCATGATGTAATGCAGTACAAGCCAAGAATTAAAAATAGTGTATCCTAGCAGTATGACTGTGGCCAAATTCTTACCCTCTCTGTGGCTCATCCATGAAATGGGGGCAGTAATGTTAAGTACCTCATGTTTTATTATATAACTCCCAGTCTGAAAGGCCCATAGAAAACTCAGTATGGTATTAGGCTTACTGATTTAGAACATAATAAATGTCATTTATTATTGTTATACTATCATCATCATCATAATTATGGCTACGATTTTTACAGTAATCCAAGTAATTTATTTTTTTGTGGATAAATCTGATAAAGTCAGCACTGTGGTGGAGAATGAAATAGAAGTGACATTTCTCTTTCAAAGTCATAGCCAGAGGTGTGTTTTCAGTTTGAAATATTACCTAATTCACTGCAATGCTATTATGATGTAACCCCACTGCTGATTTTGTCTAATTATAATGCCTGGAATATTGAGATTTTTCTTCAATAGAAATGTATCAATCGTAGAAGTTTCTACTTATGACTAGGCAATGGCTAGACTATAATTGTTCACATCTTTTCATATTAGTTGTGGCCATTTGACTGAGTTCTGACAAATGAAAAGCAGCTGAAAGTGACATAAGCCCCTTAAGCTTTTCACGCAAAAATCCCTTCACCAGACTGAGCTCTTTCTCTTTCTCTCCCTGCTATTTTGAAATTGACACCTCTTTACACACTGAAGACGGCTTCCAGGTCCTGGATGCTGTGTGAGCAGAAGTTCCCCACACAAGCAAATCCAAAGACATTACCAGTTGGAATGTATGCTGGAAAGAAACTCACATTGCATAATGTCACCAAGTTTGGAAATGTATTTATTAGAGCAGCTAGGACTTCCTTCAGTGATATCAGCATAATTATTTACCTTTCCCCCTTCTGAAAATCATATTGAAAATCACACTATATTTTGTTTTTTTTTTTAATTCTACTGTGAAACATAGTAAATGAAGCATAGTTGATACAATAACTCAGAAAAATTACAAAACAAAGGAAATATTATTTTCAATGTAGAGTTTCTTACCAATTGCAAGCATATATGTCTGCAGAGTAAATTGTGTACATTTTCAAACATACATTGTCTGAAATTAATATCCCCCATGCCAGAATATGATGTGTCAAAATGGAGAAATAATCCAGAAATAAAAATAGAGCACCTGGTTTAGGAGAGAGGCATGGAATTCAGAGGATCGTATTGAATGGAGATACCCAAAGGAGAGCTATGCAACAAGAAATGAAATGGATGATCACTTTTGTGGGGAGCAATTCGGACTAGACTAAGTTACTGGAATTAAGACTTATTCTATGCATCTGCTCTCCCACAATATGGCGCTGGGAGAGAAGAAAACAGCTTTTACACAGCTGCCTCCAGTTCAACCAATAAACTGTAGGACTTGCTCCTGATTGGAGAGCAGTGTACTCGGCGTGTGGGCAGCCGAGTTAGGATTGGCGGAGGAGGACTATAAAGGAGGAGAGAGACGCCATTCACCAGGAACATCTAAGGGGAACATCTAAGGGGAACACCTGTGCAGCCCCCGAGAGAGCTGGCCAGTGGTGTGCCGCTCCCCTGCGGAAGTGGGGAATGTGGCCATGGGGAACCGCCCTTCCACGGAGGTGGAAGGGACAGTAGCCAACCCGGGAAGAACCAGCAGCAAACCCGGGGAGGGCCGAGCAGACGAAAGAACAGCGCAGGGTCCTGTGTCGTTCCTCCACGAAGAGGGGGAGCGACAACTTTCTCTGGGATCCAGTTCTCATTTACTTCCAATTCCAACTTCCTGCTGATGTTCATTCTGGTGGGAAGCAGGTAATGGCTCCAGTTCTTGGTTATCTGAAACATGGATTGACTTGTGGGTGCCTGCCCTCACCCTAGGCCAGCCCTAGTAATTGCGGGCATTTGGGGGAATGAACCAGTAGATGGAAGCTCATTCCTTGTGTGTTTATTTCTCTTTTTCTTTCTGTTTGTCTGTTTTGCAAATAAATTAAAAAAAAACTTTAAGAAAACAAAGCATTGGTCACTAGATTGTTTGTGTATAAGATAACAATAGTTCTGTGGGAGGGGCCACTACTGTG